ATAATGTGGGAGACCAGGTTTCATCCCTGGGTTGGGAAGATCCTCTGGAGAAGGAAATGGCAACCCATTCCAGTACTCTTGCCTGGAAAATCCCGTGGACAGAGTAGCTTGGTGAGCTACAGTCCATGGGGGTTGCACCCGACTAAGGGACTTCACTTTCACTTTTTCACTTTCATTTCAAACTGTGGTGGAGTTAATGAAGATAATGGCGACCTCCTTCAAAAGGTCTCATGCATGTACTGCTACACTCAGTGCCCCCAAACTTGCAGCAGGCCACCACTGACCCATGCCTCAGCTGGAGACTCCTGGACACTCCCGGGCACATCTGGGTCAGTCTCTTGTGGGGTCACTGCTCCTTTCTCCTGGATCCTGGTGCACACAAGGTTCTGTTTGTGCCCTCCAAGAGTCTATTTCCCAGTCCTGTGTAAGTTCTGGCAGCTCTATGGTGGGGTTAATGGCGACCTCCTCCAAGAGGATATATGTCCTACCCAAGTCTGCTGCACCCAGAGCCCCTGCCCCTGCAGCAGTCCACTGCTGACCCGTACCTCCACAGGAGACGCTCAAACACAGTTCTGTCTCAGTCTCTGTGGGGTCTCTGGGTCCTGGTGCAGACAAGGTTTGTTTGTGTGCTCTGAGCATCTCTGGCAGGAATGGGATTTGATTCTAAATGTGAATTCGCCCCTCCTACCATCTTGCTGGGGGGTCTTTTTTGCCCTTGGATGTGAGGCATCTCCTCAAAGTCATAATAAAAAGCGTTAACTCTTTCTGAAGTATAATATTGATATAATAAAATTCCAATCAGAATTACAACAGTTTTGTTTTATGGAGGGTTTTTTTTTTGAGGAGGGGTAGTATTCATTTTTAAACTTTATAAAATGATTTTAAACTTCAAAGTTTCTAGAAAAAGTAAATCTGTGAGAACAAAAATCTTTTGAAATCATATAGATTACAGAGACATGATAGAGTTCAGATTAAGCTAAATATTTGTGACCCTATATAACAGAATTGACATTTAATTCAGGGGCTTTTGGGTAATATGTTCCATAAATGGTGCCAGCTGATAATGTTGAATTTTACCTGAGCCCCATGATCCTGGTAAATAGTGAAGGTTAAGAAATTCCCTTACTCTTTTGTGCTCTTTTTTGTTACTCTTTGCTTACAGCAAAGATCCCCCCTTCCCTGTATGACTTTGGACTCACGGACACCACCTGTTTGTTGATAACATGGCCAGACACAGACCCTCCAAATTCTCATTCTTTCCCCCCATAAACATTGATTAACCACAACAAAATGCTTATTAGCCAAACTTTAGCCAAGCTTCTCTCTTTCCTACAGGTTCCTGAACTCTGCTTGCCCTCAAGCCTGAGAAAGCTCAAAAAAGTGTGGAACATGCCCTTTTCTCAGCATCTCCTGAGAATTGGCTGACCACAGTGGACACTGTCCTGTCAGATCCCATTGGTCATTTCCCTGATTGTGCAGGTTCTCTTCCACAGTCTGCTTATCTCGGCTTGCCTCCTCCTTACCATATCTATAAAAGAAAAGCCTTTTTCTTTTTGGTTTTGAAATGCTTGCAGATTTCTGAGATGGGGATTCTCTCCCTATTTGCAATAGCTTTTCTTTCTAGTCTCTCCCTATCCAAGTCTGGATTTGTTTCTATTTGATGCAGCAATGAAGCTTGATCTTAATCTCATACCATACATCAGAGTCAATTTCAAGTAGATTAAAGGTATAAGTAGAAAATTTTAAAACAAAAATGAAATAAATGTTTAGACTATCTTTTTAGGAGTACTTGGAATGGAGAAGGGGTCCATGCAAGGCAGGAAACACAGAAGCCAGAAAAGAAAGCTTTTTTAAAAAAAAAATTTACTTTTGGCTGCACTGGGTCTTTGTTGCTATGCTTTCTGTAGTTGTGGTGAGTGGGGGCCACTCTTGTTGCAGTATGTGGGCTTCTCATTGCAGTGGCTTCTCTTCTTGTGAGGCATGGACTCTAGGTGCATGGGCTTAGTAGTTGTGGTGCATGAGCTTAGTTGCTCCACAGCATGTGGAATCTTCCTGAACCAGGGATCAAACCCATGTCCCCTGCATGCAGATTCTCAACCACTGGACCACCAGGGAAGTCCAAGAAAGCTTATTTTTGATGAAAGAATACATTTTTCTAACTACAGATAAAAGGACACCTACAAAATGCAAAGGACAGAATGAGTTAGGGGTAAATATTGCAATGCAAAAAATATCTCTAGTTTACAAAGAGCTTTTACAAATTGATAAGAAAAAGACAAATCACTGCAAAGAAAACTTAACAAAGGATATGAAGATTTCCCAAAGAGAAGATCTAAATTGTCAACAAACAGAAAAAGAGCCTCAGTTTACAAGTGGTCAGGGTGTTGTAGCCATGCGTTCCGGGAAACAAACTCACTCCGAAGGACAATGCAGATAGTGGAGTGCAGTTTATTACACAGGCGAGCCCAAGGCAGAGTCTCCTCTTAGCCAAGGACCCCAAACCAGTTTTTGTGAAAACCTTATATACCCTAAGTGTACTTGCTCAAACCTACCTCCCCAAATTCCTTGAAACTAGTCTGGACAAGGTAAAAGAGAGATACGATCAAAGTTAACCCATGATTCATGTGTCACAAGATTAGATAAACAGTGGATATTTATCAATAGGCCTGTGGTCATATCCCGATAAACATAATGGAATTTGCCACTTTGTTCTGTTACAGAGATAATTAGCATATTCTTTTAGGCAACGGAGAGTCCAAATACAAGTACTGAGGCTCTTTTATCTGGGGGGTCTGGTTTTCCATTGGAATGCCATTTCTATAGACACCGGGCACAAAGTTCAGAGTCCATTGGGAGGGTGACCATGCATGTAGCCTAATGTTCACAGCCTGGCCTAAGATGGAGTCCAGCTCTGTCTGTTTCCTCCTTCAAGGTAGTGCAAGTCAAAGCAATTAAATTACCCCTCAGATTGGCAAAAATTAGAGCATCAACATTCAGTGCTAAAAATTTGCCTTGGTGGATTCATACTGTGCTGGTGGGAGTAGGAAATGTTAAAATATTTTGGGGATGTGATTTGGCTGTATCTATTCAACAACACAATACCCTTGGATTTAATAGTAAAACTTCAAAATATAGGAAGCAAAAAATTGACTGGTGCAATGAAAATCTGACTTACCAGTACAGTGGGAGATCTCTCTCACTAACTCAGAGAGCAAGCAGAAGAAAATCATCAGGAAGCAAGCAGAAAAAATCATCACTTTAAATAGCTCAGGGGCTTCCCTGGTGGCACTAGTGGTAAAGAATCTGCCTGCCAATGTAGGAGACACAGAGACACTGGTTCGATCCCTGCGTCAAGAAGATCCCCTGGAGAAGGAAACGGCTACTCATTCCAGTATCCTTGCCTGGAGAATTCCATTAACAGAGGAGCCTGGCAGACCACACAGTTCATGAGGTCGTATAGAGTTGGACACGACTGAGCAACTAACACTATGTCGACTAAAAGAATATAGTCACAACCTGAAAGTAGAGGGTTATTTTATTTGGTGGGAATGTTTAGGACTCTGAGCCAGGGAGACAGCATCTCAGTAGCTCCGAGAAAACTGCTCCAAGGAGGCAGGAAGGGAAGTCAGGCTATATGCAAGTTTGCAACAAAGGGAGCAGGTAGTCTGAACACCACATATCAGGTTATCAAGTTAAGGAATTTAGCCTTCTACGTGTGGAAAGATGCAAACCTCTGGGCTCACTGAATTCATTTCTTTCATATGCACCTCAGCTATTTGGGGCCAATCCTGTTTCCTTGTTCACCTTGCTTCTTGTATTCCTCCAGCTCCTCAGCAATCACTATGGGGGGGTGGGGGTGGGGGTGGTGGCAACGCCTGCTGGATCCCAGTTTTGGGAGCGATCATTCACATTTGGAGGCCAGAAATAACTGATGGCTGTGACATTGTTGTAGCCTCCCGTTTCCGGAAACAAAGTCACTCAGAAGGACAATGCAGATAGTGGAGTGCAATTTATTACACCGGCGGGTCCAAGGCAGTCTCCTCTTAGCCAAGGACCCCGACCAGTTTTTGTGGAAACCTTATATACCCTAAGTGTACATGCTTAAACCCACCTCCTCAAATTCTCTGAAACTAGTCTGAACAAATAAAAAGAAAGATACAAAGTTAGCCAGTGATTTGTATGCCTTAAGCTTAGGTAGTTAACAGTAGACAACTACCAATAGGCCTGTGGTCATACTCCAATAAGCTTATGCTTATAAAATTTATGATTCTATTTGGTTACACAGATAATTAGGGTATTCTCTTAGGCAACGGAGAGTCTAGGTATGAGCCCTGGGGCTCTTCCATCCCAAGGGTCTGGTTTTCCAGTTGGTATGTCGTTTCCATAATACTGGGCATATAGCTCAAAGTCCACAGTCTGGCCCAAGATGGAGTCCTGCTTTCAAGATGGATCCTGTTCTGTCTCTTTCCTCCTTCTTTATTAATATGGCAGGAGATATTTTCATTTCACAACACACACACCAACAAGTTCAAACCAATAAACACATATGCTAAACCCAACAGCTGGAAAATACAGTCTTTTCAATCAAGAAATGAAACACTGTCGAAAACTGGGTCCCATACTTGAGGCTCAAGGCAAGTTTGACACTGGATTTCTTTTTTTTTTTTTTTTACTGTTCTCTGAAGTGAATTTTAATATTGTACAAAAAATCTAACTTCTTATACAAGTACATATGTTCTATGATTTTATGCATACATCCATATACATATATCAAGGTAAAGTCTGATAAAAAAAAAATAGCTTTCCCATGGCCAGTGTTCTACGGAAGTTAAGTCTGTAAGACTGTGCAGATTTTATTTTGTTGTCAAATGATATTGTAACACTAAGGCAGAACAAGACCAAAGCAAATTGTGTCCACAGTATGTTACAGAGTATCTTGCATAGCTTATTTCTTCTCACTTTATAAAACTCATTTTAGGATTCTGATAGGTTGTTTTTTCTTTTCTCAATGAATTTATACAAGTTAGTGTGTACTTTTTGCCTTTGTTCTATAGCAAACCAGCTTTCTCAACTCTTGTTGTTTTACTTTACAACCTTACAGAATTAATGATAGCCTGAGCTTTGGGGGCTCTGAACTGTTTTCACTGTAATCCTTGATACAATGATGTACAAATACATAGAGCATTTTGAATCTTCATCTGTATCGCAGGCGATTTTCCAGGGCTTCCATTCTCTGTGTCATTTCTTCTAGTAAATCTCAAATTAAGGAAGAGGAATCTGAATGGCCTATTTACATTCAAATACAACTTGATTTATCTACAAAAGAATTTGTGTCCTGCAAAATACAAGGCTTTTGTTTTTTCCATTTCTGTAATTCTGACTTAAAAGTTTATAGTAACCCATTAGTACATACTATTAAGACTATAGATCTATGTTGGGTTAAATGCTTTTTTTTTTTAACATTAAGTCCATATAGTTCAAATTTTTCTTTTTAAAAATTTTAGTTCTGCTCACTCCCCTGTTGCTTATAAATTAATTTACCATAGCACGCCTCTGGGAGCTGAACTGATGATGTTCTTCATTTGCAAGGTTCTGGAACATTATAAGGTTTTCACATTTGCATTGATCCTGTTTTTCTTCCAAAGGACTTCCTGAGGATTTTGTCGAATGGAAAACTTTTTGTGTAGACCGTGCAAGATTGTCTTCTTCAAACAGATATCTGTGTTGCACTGCAAAATTAGAACAGGAAAGTAGGTCTCGGATATTTATGGTGACTGGCTCAGATTCTGTTGGCTTGTGGACCCTCTTTGGCAGTTCCCCTGCTGGAGAGTCCTGTCTTCCATCAGAGTCTTCCAGAGCTTCACATATGCCTTTCTGCAGTTTGGCACTTATCTCGCCCATCGTGCTGAAGTCTTCCGCATAGAAGAGGTGCTTTTCTGTGGGCTCAGAGGCGATCTCTCGCAGTTCCTCCTCAATGGCTTTCCCCACCCCAACAGCATACATAGTTATTCCATTGGCCTGGGCTTTACTGGCCCACTCGGAGACGTCGTCCTGAGCCCGTCCATCCGTGAAGACGATGGCCACTCTGGGCACCCGTGTGGAGAGAGGCCGGGCCCCTTCTACTTGGGTAAAACTTCTCTCAAACATATGTTTCAGGGCCAGCCCGGTCATAGAGCCCTTGCCCATGTATTTCATGTGGGCCACGGCTTTTTTCATGTCTTTGGCCGAGCTGAAGTTTCTCAGGGTGAGCTCTGTGCGGACCAGTGTGGAATACTGGAGCAGCCCTACTCGAGCAGCTTTGGGAGAAATCGCCAAGGAATCTATAATTCCAGTGACAAACTGCTTCACAATCTCAAAATTATCTTCTCCAAGGCTCTTGGACCCATCAATCACAAAAACCAAGTCAACTGGGCCTTCAGTGCATCTTTTGCACCGTCTTCCATCCTCAGCTAGAATAAATCCCTTTGAGCATTTGCAGATGTAGGAGTTACCACGGTTAACACAAATGTGTTCACAGCCATGGTGGGTCGATTTGCAGACATCCTTCCTTCTGCAACGTCTCCCATCCTCGGCCAGCCGGAATCCCTCCATGCACTTGCAGACATACGACTCCCCAGTGCTCACACAAGCATGCTCACAGCCGTGGTCCACTGCTTGGCAGACATCTTTCCCTGAGGACAGCAAAGTTAAACACTTCACCAACGTCAGTTTTCCCTGGGCTTCACCCAGGAGGATCCATCCTTCTCAACCCCTGGACTCCACGGCCATCTGAGCTCAGCAGCTCTACTTCGGGTTCACTCTCCAAGCTTCCTCACTGTCACCGACACTGGATTTCTAAATAATCCTTGGGTCAAAAGGGGGAAACCGTTACAAATTAGCACTTGAAACTGAATACTAATGAAAATGAATCAAATAAAAACTTGGAACTTGGGGCTTTCCTGGTGGTCTAGTGGTTAATAATCTACCTGCCAATGCAGCAGAAACCCGCTCCAAGATCCTACATGCTGAGGAGCAACTAAGACCCTGTGCCACAACTATTGAGCCAAAGCTCCGCGACTATTGAAGCCTGGTGCCTAGAGCCCTGGCTCCCAGAGAAGCCACCGCAATAAGCCCACTCGCCACAACTAGAGAAAACCCGCAGCAGCAAGGAAGAAAACCAGAGCAGTCTAATATAAACTTTAAAAAACAAACAAAAAACCTTGCAACCTTGGATATTTAGAAGAGAGCTTTAGCCTTCATGCTTATATAAGGAAACAGGGAAGCCTGAGTACTCGAGTTTTGTTTTTCTTGTTTTAATGGATGAAATGTCCCATTACTGATGTCACAAGCCCCCCCACCCCCCGCCCCTCTGCTCCGTGCACAGATACTTGGTTTCTGGCGCTCAACCACCTCAGCTCCCCGCGCCCACAGTGGTTAAACTCTCGCTGCGGGCGACTTCCGCTTCCTGGNCCCCCCATAGCAAATACCCAGGGTCGGTGACAGCCGGAGCCGGGCGATGCCCCCAGCCGACGGGTGGACAAAGGCGCCGTCAGGTGGGCACGCAGCGGCGCCCGGGGCTCTGCCGCCGCGAGCCGCCTGCACGGATCGGGGCCCTTTCCGCACCTGGAGAAGTGGAGCGGGGGTGGGGGCTGGGGAGGGGGCGCCAGTGTCTGACCGGTGGCTTGGAGGTGTCTTTCTAGCTAGGATAGGGGAGGGGGCAGGGGGAGTTACTACGTGTGAAGATGCCTCGGCCCCTGGGGATACGGCCGGAGGGCGGGGCCCTAGGACGCAGAGCTGGGAATTCACCAGGCCTACGCTTGGGGTAACAGTGGAGGATGCGGCGCGGGAGGGAAGAGTCTGGGAGCCGCAGCCCGACCTGCTGGGCCGGATCGGCTCCCAGGAAACCCCGCCGAGGCAGGTCCGGCGAGGTACCGCTGGTTCCGCAGCTGCAGAAATGCCCACCCTCCCAAGATGGCGACTCCCGGAGAGACACTCCCAAGAGGACAGCCATGTTAGTGGTCTGACAAAGTCACTAAAGAAAATTGGAAAGCCCGCCTCTCCTCCGATACACACAGACACGCGCACGCACTGACGCCTCGTGAGTGCACAAGGTGTAACTGGGGTGGACGGCCGCTTCGGCGCCGACACTGAGCATGTGCAGTGTGAAGTCCAGAAACGTCAGCGTCCCGCAGAGGCAGTTTCAACACTTTGGGCTCTGGGACTGAGTTTAATTGAGACGGCGATTTAGCACCAGTAAAGCATTGACATAATTATGGAGGCGTTAGGACATGGCTTCTTTGCTCAGTGGTGGTACTCTGTGGGGTGAGTAATGGGGCTTCTCTGGAGTGTGTGAGGTGGTGCATAGAGCAACACGGGTTTGTGGGTGAATGATGGAGGCAGTAGAGAAAGTAATAAGCAGTCTGTGTGCTGAATTTTGGGGAATCTGTGGGGTCAGTGATACAGAGTCTATAGGATGAGCAGGGGGCATTGATGAGGTGAGCGATGAGGAGTCTGTAGGGTGAGGAGCCTCCTTGGAGGCCACTGATGGGGTAAGTGACTGGGTCTGTGGGATAAGCAGTGGAAGTCTGTGGAGTGAGTGATCAGGGGTAAGTGGAGTGAAGAAAGGGGACTGTGGTGTGAGTGATCCGGTGTCAGAGATGTGATTTGAGCTCTGTGAGGTTAGTGCTTGGAGGTCCTGTGTAGCGAATCATTGGCGTTCTGTGAGGCGTCATGGGAATTACTGAGGTATGTGATGGAGCGGTCTGTGAGATAAATGATGGGGTTCAGTGATGTGAGTGATGACCGTCTTTTGGAGAGTAATGAGTGGTCTGTAGAGTGAGTGGAGAGCCTGTGAGATGAGGATTGGAGAATGAGTGAGTGATAGTTTTTGAGGTAAGTGATGAGGGCCGTGGGATGAGTGTTGCAGGGTCTATAAGGTATATGATTAGGTTTATTGGGTGGATGGTCAAGGTTTCTGTGGTGTGAGTGATGGAGCTCTGTGGGATGAATGATACATTTATTTGGGACTGTTGCTAGTGACAGAGGGGCCTATGGACCCCACGCTGCTTCATAGGATCAGTGATCGGTGGTTTTAGAATTGAGATGTGATTGTCTCAAAAACCTACTTTTGACCTTCTTGGTCCTCCTATATCTTTGTTTTCTGTGTCATTAGTTTCTGCCCTTGATTTCAATGTTTCTTGATTTTTTCTATTCCTATTTTTTTAATTCCTAAATTGAATGCTTATCTCAATTAATATCCCATAATTTTCTTTTATAGTATAGGCATTAAGTTCATGCATTTTTCTCTAAGAACACTTTCGTTTCATGTCACAAGTTTTTATATGTAACACTTCCACCATAGTTTATTAATAATGTTTTTTAAGTTCTGTTGTGGTTTTCTCTCTGATCCCTTAGTTATTTAGGTATGAGATTTTGATTTCCCCCAAAGTTGAAATTTTTGTTATTGATTTCTAAATTATAGTCAGACACTGTCATCTGAGTGATCATTAGTTGCAGGAATGGATGTTTCTTAAAGTGGATGGTATGTATTGAAATTTCAGTTAAATTATTTTCCAGAACTTTTGTAAAATTACATCTCCCACTAGCAGTATATAAAAGGGCTCACTCCAAAATCATCTCCTGCACTGATTGTTGCTGCTTTTTAAATTTCTGCTCTGAGGGCCAAACAGAACAGTATGTAGCTTACTTTGATGTGCATCTTCCTGACAACTGGTGGCTGAACATCTCATATTTATTGGCCATTGAAATGTATTTAAAAATTTTTTATATCCTTTGCTCTTTTTATTCTTTATGTAGTTTGTCTTTCTCACTAATTTGTGGATATTAACCTTCTGTCATTTATTGTAATTGTCCCCTTTATCTCTCTTTATATCCTGATTTTTGAAATGTGTCTTCATATATAATTAGAAAAATAGTCATCTGATTAGATAATTTTTCTTTACAAGTTCTAAATATCATGTCTTGCCTAGTGAGTTCTCCCTGATTTTGGTGCTTAAGTAAATATATGACTTAAATTTAAATTTTCATTGCTTTAGGGTTAAATTTTAATCCAACTGGAAAATTCTGGTGTGTGGTATGAGATGAGATTAAAGTATGTATTTTCCATTTGGTTAGAAAATTTGACAGCACCAATCATTAAATGAATACCCTTTTCACACTCAGTTAGATACCACTTTTGTCCCATAAATTCCTAAATGTATATTGTTCTATTTCTGAACTCAATTTTTTCTTCTATATATGTGTCTACTCCCTTTCAAAAAACTGTTGTGACTTTAGGAATACTTTTAATATTTAATAGTGCTAATCCCCTCACTCTTCCTTTCTTTGGTTGTTTTCTTTAATATTTTTTAGCACTTATTCTTTCATATGAATGTTAAAAACCATTTTATTTTATTTCAAAAGCAACCGCTAAAACTATATTTTATAGTTTTCTTCTTATAGATTCAGGACCTTTTTTTAAAGTTCATTCTTAGATATTTTACACTTGATTTCATCATCACAATAAATAGCACATTTCTCTATTTCCATAGGGGGGAAATATTGATTTAATTTTTTTTCTTTTTTGTATGTTATTTCTTATCCAATCCAGTTGTCACATTCTCATGTGAATTATAGTTGCCTTTTATGGTCTCTTAGTTTTTCTAGATATAATATCATGTCACATTCAATTAACAGTGATACTCTCTCTCTTCCTTTCAAATATTTTTTTCCGATTACTTCATCTTCTATTGCATTAGCTAGAGCTTTCAGAAAAATGTTGAATGATACTTGATAGAGAGAACCTCTATCTTGTTGCTAATTTGGAAGTGAAGGATATTCATTCATTCAACAAATGTTTGTTGAATACCTTCCCCTTTCCAGATACTGGATTTGAAATCCTGCATGGCCACTTACTAACTACATGATCTTTTCTTTTTCTAACAGCTTTATTGATGTAATTCACCTTCCACAAACTTCAACATTTAAAGCTTACAATTCAGTGGTTGTTAGTATGTTCAAGTTGTGCAAATCACCCTCATAATCCAATTACAGAACATTTCATCACCCCCAGAAGGAAACATTGTACTGGTTCCACATTCCCACCCCATACCTCCAGCTGCAAGCAGCCACTGATTTACTTTCTGTCTCTATAAATTTGCCTGTTCTAGACCTTTCATATATATGGAATCAAAAATATATGCTCTTCAGTGACTATCTTTTTTTACTTAGAATGTTTTCAAGATTCATCCATGCTATACCATGTATCAGTACTTCATTCTTTATTACTGAATAATATTCCTTTGTGTGGATATACCTCATTTTGTTTATCCATTCATCAGTTGATAGATATTTGGGTTGTTTTCGCTTTTTGGCTACCTTGAATAATGTTGCCATGAACATTTGTGTACAAGTTTTTGTGTGGATGTATATTTTCATTTCGCTCAGAGGTGGAATTGCTGGGTCATATGGTACCTTTAAAGAACTGCCAAACTGTTTTTCAAAATAGTCGCACCATTTTACATGCTACCAGCAATATATGAAGGTTCCAATGTGTCATTCTTAACACTTGTTATTGTCTGGTATTTTTTTTAATTCTAGCCATCTTAATGATTGTGAAGTGGTGTCTCATTGTGGTTTTGATTTCTATTTCCCTAATGAATGTTGAGACTCTCTTGATGTGTGCAATGGACTGCATGTTTATGTGCCCCCTCCCACCCAAATTCACACCTTGAAATCCTAAATCCCAGTGTGATGGTATTAAGAGGCAAGGCCTTTGGGAGGTGATTAGATCATGAGGGTCAAGCCCTCATGAATGGGATTAGTGTCCTTATAAAAGAAACCTCATAGAGCTCCTTTCCACCT